TGAGCGTTCCATTAGAACGAATCACTTCAACGTCCAGGAACGGAAACCGCTCACCTTCCTCTACTTCCATCGTGAATTGAATTTTTTCATTAATTTGATTTGCAAACTTCAGAAACTCTTCCAGTTTTTCTCTTCCATGTAACCAAAGTGCGAAGTAATCATCCAAGTACCGCATGCTCACTGCCGGTTGTAGTGGTGCCAGCTTGAAGTTCTCTTCTATGCACACAGGGACTGGAACCGAATGAAATCGGTCAACTAGAAAGATAAGGAAGGAATCTACGAGACAATGAGGAGATCCGGATTGGAGGCCCGAGTCGGATAAGCCGATAGATAGAGAGGGGTCGGGGTTGCATAAACAATGTCAAACATCTTCTATTTTGCCGTGTTGATAAACATCAAAGTAATCGTCCATTTAACGAACTAATAAGTTGGGAACCAGGAGCGCCTCTTGAAAGACACGAACTTCTTACTGGGCTATGTAGTTTTTAGCTAGAATCGGGAGCAAAGGAGATCACATGTCCAAGCCCATGTTTGCTCGTACAACCTATCATTGAAGGTAAAATATGTATTATATATTACCAAATCGACCAATTTAATGATCGAATCATTGCCTAACATTTTACCTGTTATAATTTCAGGGTGTTTATCTACAGTTGATTATAATGCCTTCATAGCTTCGCTTATCAAGATATTAGTGTACATAGACTACATCGAAACTCACTAGCAAATATCATCTTTCTGTCTTCTGATCATCATGTAGCTTTATAAAGCCGTAAGAGTTCCTCACCGAAAACTTTCAAGTTTCCGAGATTTGCTTTTACTGCCTACAAATAAATCAGGATGTTTTCTGCATCACGCTGCCTCTATTCTTTACAATAATCCTAAGTGGGTTGCTTACTTATGCTTTTTTGGAAGACTATATGAGTTTGGAGACTAGCATCTAATTGGAGATGTGCATTTATTTTACACCTTCCAGTGCTACCCTGCTAACGAATTGTTGCAGAAAACCCATGTTTTACCCCATAGCCTTATGCCAGGTCCTTAATTATAGTTTTATATATTGTATCAACGTCTAATGCCTCTAACATTTTCTCTAAATAATCGGTCCTATTCATATTTGCTACTGCTCCTCCTTTCCCTGTCCTCAATACGAATAGATCATTCGCCTTCAACTTCCTTATACTAGTATCTACTCTCCTAATGTTACATGGTGCTTCTACTTGGCCTAGAGTCTAGCTAGGACTATCACACTTCCCATGGCATGAACATTACATACACAGAATAGACAATAGCACAAGCCCAAACATGAATCAGCCTTAGAGTATCGTAAGCCTGTTTATTTGTGTAAGAAAACACATACTTCCGGTTCTTATATAACTTCACTCATCAGCAAGCATCTAGAGTTAGAGGTAGAGAACCAAATCGCTGGATGCTTTATTAAGTTCGCAAGGTTAGGTTTATAAAAAAATGACTGGGTTGCAGCCGGCCATCTTTTCTCTTGGTTTAGTATATTTTTGCTCTATTTCGTCAAGTATGGATTCCTGCTCTGCTGATGTCTGTCAAAGTACAGACGAAAGCTTAGCAAAAATTCATCGGGGTCGCAGGACGGTGAGTCGAGGACT